TCTATAAATATGACAATATATAAATAAAAATAGTCATATATGCTTAGGAGTATTTGTAATGTTTCTGATAATGTTTGAAATATAACTAACTAAAAATGGCAAAAACACAGCGATTTGAAAAGTATTATAGCAACCTTCATTAAACTCTGTATTGCTCTGAATAACACTGGAAAGTAAAATGATTAATTCAGACACCACAACCCCAATAGTGATGTCGCGAACCCGAAATTTTCGGTTCGCGAACGGCGAACGCGAACTTCCGCAAATGTTCGCGAACCGGCGAACCGCCCGAAACGCCATTGACTTCAATGGGGAGGCGAATTTTAAAACACACAGGGACTCTTTCTGGCCACAATAGGGATGGAAAAGTTGTTTCAAGGGGACTAACACCTGGACTGTGGCATGCCGGAGGGGGATCCATGGCAAAACTCCCATGGAAAATTACACAGTTGATACAGAGTCTGGTTTTAATCCATAAAGGGCAGAAATCACCTAACATTCCTAAATCACAATGAATATGGATTGACACCTGACATATGACATATTGACACCTTGACATATGGATTGACACCTGTCCTCAGAGCCCCTGATGCACACGGACACAGAGCAGAATAGAGACTGTCCCCCTACATAGGGTCACTTGGCAGATATGGATTGACACCTGTCCTAAGGATCCCTGATACACACTGACACAGAGCAGAATAGGGACTGTTCCCCCTACATAGGGTCACTTGGCAGATATGGATTGACACCTTGTTACAAACTGCTATTTGTAACGGGCCCTTTAAATGGCAAATTGCCCTGCTTCCCTGGGTTGTGGAGAAGCCTATTTGCCAGCCTCCTCCCGCATGACTATGGCCCCTGGGAGATTGTGAAAATGTATGCACTTTTATTTGGTGTGTATGGCCCTTTAAGACTGTCGGTGGGCATATTGGGGCTTATGGACTCTTTATGTGACTGGTGCTGGCCCTTTAAACACCTTTTTTGGGACATCAGGAAGATTGGGACACTGCCCCTTTAAGGCCGTGTCCCCAGACTTGTTGGGGACACGGCCCCTTTAAGACGGTGTCCCCTGTGTCCCCAGACCTGGTGCAAACCCTTTGTGCCTGCCTTGCTATTTCCCACTTGGGTCAGTAAATGGGAAATTATTTCAGCTGCAGAGACTAAGTCCCATTCGGCGATGGGACTTAGTCTTTTTTTCAGCCGTTTTTTTCAGCCTTATTTCAGCTGCAGAGACTAAGTCCCATTCGCCGATGGGACTTAGTCGTTTTTTCAGCCGTTTTTTTCAGCCTTATTTCAGCTGCAGAGACTAAGTCCCATTCGGCGATGGGACTTAGTCTTTTTTTCAGCCTTATTTCAGCTGCAGAGACTAAGTCCCATTCGGCGATGGGACTTAGTCTTTTTTTCAGCCGCTTTTTTCAGCCTTATTTCAGCTGCAGAGACTAAGTCCCATTCGGCGATGGGACTTAGTCTTTTTTTCAGCCGTTTTTTTCAGCCTTATTTCAGCTGCAGAGACTAAGTCCCATTCGGCGATGGGACTTAGTCTTTTTTTCAGCCTTATTTCAGTTGCAGAGACTAAGTCCCATTCGCGATGGGACTTAGTCGTTTTTTCAGCCTGAAATAGACCGACCTCACAGCCCAAATCTATGGAACTGTTTTGGGCAGGAAAATGTGCTTGCAGTCGGTCATAAAGGGACTTCCAGCTAACTTTTTAACCCCTGGATGGATTTGGCTGATTTTTGGTTATGTTTATGTTTTAAGTGTGCTGATTCCAAATATGTAATTATGAAGATGGGATGTGTAGTTTTAAAGTTACAGGGTATGGCTAAAAACTGTATTTTTACTGCCTGTGTTTAATTATGTTAATCTCTTCCCAAACGTCATTTCGCTCAAAGTGGAGAGAATGTTAAAAAAATATATTTTTGTTCGGAGTGTGAGAAATGCTTTTCAGCCGCTTCTAATCTTAAGCATCATTTGAGGAGCTATACAGGAGAGAAACCTTATTTGTGGTGTGTTTAGTATTGTTCTGATCAGTTTAATATCTTCCGCGTCTCCTATCAGTGGACGTGTATATGGCAGCCATTTTAGGAACTGTACACCTGGGACCCGAGCAAGGTCACCTCGTTCAACAGGCGACAACATTTGTCCCTGGAAAACTATCCTGGACATTCTGTACAATTTGTATGGATATGGCAGTGATTTCTGTAACAGGGAGATGGAAGAAGATGCTTGGTCGGTCCTCTTAATTCAAATTTGGGGCACTGCGCGGTCAAGCTAATGTGCCACCAGATAGGAGTGGTGTGTTTTGGTATTGTTCTGATCAGTTTAATACCTTCCGCGTCTCTATCAGTGGCGGTACACGCATTGATTTTGTAATAGGAGATGGAAGAAGAGGTTTGGTCGGTCCTCTTACTGCAAATTTGGGCCCGCGCTGTCAAGCTAATGTGACACCAAGGGCCGGGGTGATGATGATTTAGTACTAGTGGTGTGTTTAGTACCAGTTTAATACCTTCCGCGTCTCCTATCAGTGGACGTGTACACGGCATTGATTTTTGTAACAGGGAGATGGAAGAAGAGGCTTGGTCGGTCCTCTTACTGCAAATTTGGGGCACTGCGCGGTCAAGCTAATGTGACACCAGATAGGAGTGGTGTGTTTAGTACTATTTTTATCAGTTTAATACCTTCCGCGTCTCCTATCAGTGGACGTGTACACGGCATTGATTTTTGTAACAGGGAGATGGAAGAAGAGGCTTGGTCGGTCCTCTTACTGCAAATTTGGGGCACCGCGCTGTCAAGCTAATGTGACACCAGAAAGGAGTGGAGT